GCAATAAATTCAAATTGATAAAGCATAAATGACTGAAAATTACAAATGATTGATCAATTTTAGTAAAGATACTAGACATACAAATATAGAGAATGCTGTTTTTTAATTTCACATGCATAAATTACACTTTAAACTATTGATGAGGGGAATGATCCCTATTAAAGGCTCACTAAAGCGGACTCACCCTCCATCAATACTTCACTTTTTTGATAAACATATACTTGAAAAAGAGAATAATACAAGAATTAATATAAAAACTTTCGGTATCCAAGTACTTACTAAGCATCCTTGTTAATGCATGTTGCAGACAGTCATTATCCAATATATGATCTCTGAAACTATGGTATTTATCATCATTGACCACCATTGCATAGCTTTAAATTCAATTGCAGTGGACAATTGTAATGGGTCTTTGGGAAAGGATGTACATAACCGAACCCACCAAAGCATATAACAAATTACCACAATTAACCAATCTATGTAGTACAAGTCGGATTTCAAACCAACCAACACCATAATACTGTATTTGGCAATAGATAACAAAGACAAAATCACACTTGTGATTCTTTTAGCATTTGTTGAGGGCAATGATAGATCTTTGGAGAAAAGGCTTCGTAACCAAAAACAAAAAATCACATAACTGATTACTGCAAATAACCAATCTTTATAATCTGCCACAGAAAATGTGTAAAGACCAAACACGAAAATACCCTGTGCAACATTTACAATGGTCAAAATCAAACCATTGACTCCTTTGGTATTTGTAGAGGGTAGTGAGGTATCTTTGGGATAGAACTTATAGCGGTGGACATTCCACGTCACGCTACAAATTGCCCTAGCTAACCATACTTTATAATCAGACGAGGGAGATTTAACAACATAAAACTGAAAGATGGCTCCTGCGAATTTTACAACGGTTGATGATAGAATCAAAAACATGATGGTGCTTCCAGTTGTGGTATTTGTAGAGGTTTGTAACTGATTTTCCTTCAAATCCAACCA